TTTGTTTTTGTTCCATATATATATATATATATATATATATATATATATATATATATATACCATCATTACACATTCCGGATTGAGTATGCATAAGGTATTTTTCTAGTGCTAGTTTCTAGTTGAGGGTAATGGCGACGTATCAAATGATTTATGTCATATATAGATCCAAAATACATATTCTTTGGTGTAGATATAGGCAACGATATCAACTTCGTCGGGTTAATTACGTTGGTTGCTTCCAAGTCCAGGTTACACAATAACCAAATACTTCTATCTTTTCAATGTCCTGGATCAAATATAGTTATGTAGATTCTAGAAGATAATGATGTTATATATTTTTTGTTTTATTAGTAGTATGGCTCCCAACACAATACAATTGTTTGTTGTTAGTAATGTTATGAAAGGTGGTATTCATAGATTTGCAGGGGGAAATTGTTCTATTGGAAATGGGTATTTTGGTGCTTGAAGTAACCAAATGTGTAATTTATTACCTATTACAACTAACCATGTTCCTTCTTATAATGGCCATGTAGATGGGGGTGATTATAGGTGTAAATGTAAGGTTGTCGTTGATGCTTCTCCTACAGTTGATGTTGATGAATCTACAAATGATGAGGGAAAACTAATGACGGTAGTTGATGATGGTAATATAATTCCGTATGGAGAGTCAGTTGAAAATTTTTAGAGTTCCACATAATTTGATAGGGAAGATATTCAAGGTGGAGAGGAGGAAACTGAGCCCTTACCACCCCAAAAATCACAACACAAAAAGTTTCCTTTTTATTTTTCCGATTCTATATAAACACAAACCAACCATTGGGGTATGCCTGAACCTTTACCATTGCCCGAATTAGCTCAACAAAAACGTAAAGGTGTCACATCCTACAATTATGATTCCTATGTAAAATTATACCAACTCTTTAAAGCAAAGAACAACTTAAGCTTAATTTAGGATTCAAAAGTGTTACTGATCGCTTCCAATATAAAGTGAAAAATCCACAAAAGACAGGTTTGAAGCTGTTTGCTTTATAGATAATTATGACTGGCGGATAGGGGAAACAACTGATATGTTTCAAATGGTTAAACTATTGGAGAAAGGCAGTTGCTCAAAGACACAACTACGTCCCCATCACCGACAAGCTAACAAAAAGGTATTGGGTCACTTCTTAAAGGGCATATTAGCTAATAGTATGGGTAATATGTTGCGGGGGAAAATAATACAAACAACTTTAAAGGACCATCTTAGTGTACATATTTCATACCGGTAAGCATGCAGTGCTAAAATGTATGCTCTAAATTTGTTAAGAATGACCCCTTAAGAAAGCTTTCAAATACTACCTTTAGATTGTTACAAATTGGAGAAGAAGAATCCAGGGACAGTTACACATATAAAGACGAGTTCTGACAACAAATACTACCTTTATCTCGTACATGGCTAGACATAATCGGTTACGAGAAATAGGCAAGGTCATGTTTCCCTGTGTTTCGTTAAAATTGAAACAGGGAAGTAATGGATATGGTAATAACCAAATCGTCCCTATTGTTGAAAGAATATAGATTTTGTTTTGGGAGGTTGCATAAGCTTACCGCCAGAAAAAAAGGATATTACTGAGTATGATGAGAAGGTTATTACTGAGTATGATGAGAAGGTTATCGATAAGAGGATCAACAAATCCTCCGGTTTTCAGGTGTACCAGATTGATCAAAGTAGATACAAGGTGACTGGTCAAATGAAAAATGGTATAGTAAACTTGGAATATCATTGTTGCACCTGTGTGAAATGGCAATTGTCAGGTATACATTGTTCTCATTCAATGGCGATATTCAAGAAACCGAGACATCAACACTATAATACATGGGTGTCATTGTACTTCACAATGGAAACATATTGATCAACATATATACAGATTATGTTTCCAGTGCCAGTTCCAGCTGAATATGAAGAACTAGATGACATGATGGTTGTATTACCTCCATTGAGGGACAAACGACAAGTTTGATGACCATGAAACCATAATTGTATCCCATCACAAGGCGAGAGTCCGATTCAGAAAAATGTAGTCGTTGCCAAAGGATCGGTCACACAAGCAGAAACTATGACGCTCAGTTTCTCGCATATTCTACAAAAAGTGAATCTTCCAGCAGGACCAAGTCAACTGCCAAAAGTAACGTTAAGTCTAAGAGTAGATCTAACGTTAAAAGTAGTCAAAAAAAAGTAGTCAACAATATGATAATATTGACTTTAAAAACCCATGATGATATTTATACAAAATTAGAATATTTTACATTGTTCGGAAGCATAAACATGTTTTTGCTGTGTCGTCATAAGGAAATTTTTTTAAAACATACACAAGAAAAAACCATAACTCAAACATTAGCATAATCTACATCATCTATCCACAGGAAATTCTCAATCCACCACAAAGCAACACGCTCCTGTTGAGTAGGTTGCAACAATTCATTGAGGGGACACTATATAAAACAATATATAAAGGTTAATTTTTAGGTTATTTTCTCACAGCAACATATAAATTATAAGGTGAACTAAGCTACATACATCAGTAACATCAAGAATATGTTTACACTTAGCAGCGTGCAGACGTCTCATCCTACTGTATGCAACTGCTCGAGGGATAGCACGTGGTCTATGGTAACCAACTATACTACTGCTAGGAAATGTCTTCATGATCCAAATATACTAAATTAAGTTGTCAAACAACTAACCAAAATATCAAACTTACACTAATTGTTACTTAAAAACATATGAAACATAGTGGAGATACCATAAATGCATACACTAATCCCTGCAAAGTATATGTGTGTCTACTATAATACCCGTAGATTTGGGGTAATTAATTAAGATATAATAAGTGTTAACAATGACTTTTTGACAGAAAATTATTTAGGATAAATCATATTAACCAAAGATAAAGTATATATAACTAGGATTTTGTACATATAAAGATCGCCGAAATTCGACTTCATATGAAGAAGTTATGCTACTTCGAAGTTGCGCGATTAAACCAATATGAATATGCGTATCGTAAAAAGCAAAATTTTGATAAACTACTTTTTAGCTTAAGTGATCTAACCGAAATTCATAGTAGTCATTAAACTGAGAGCGTGTATATAGAGAACGTCCAAATCCGATTTCGTGAGAGGAAGTTATGATTTTCTGAAGTTTCAGCCCATCTATGTTAGCACAAAAATCAAATTTTAGATCGGCCGATGTATATCCGAAACAATCTAAACAACAATTGAAGATCTTGTAATAAGGATTCCAAAGATATAAAGACAGTCGAAAACGGAGTTTGTATGTAAAAGTTATGAATTTTACACGGTAGTTAACCGTGTAATCTTTGTAGACTATTAAATTTAAGACCGGTTGAGAATTTTCCAAAGGAGTCAAAATGAAAGTTATAGTACTCGGAAATAGATATTCTTGGATAAAGATAATGTCGAAAATGGAGTTCGTACAATGAAGATATGAATTTTTGAAGATCTTCCCCACATACACGTTTTGCCACGTCGAACCTGTTAATGAACGCCACGTGTTAGTCATATGGTGGGGTAGGAACTACCACTACCACATGTTCAGCACGCCTGGTAGGTGTGTGCAACATGCTTTGGTTTTTTTGGCCCTATAAATTTAGCAAAAAGCTCATTTAGCTTCCTTACCCCTCCAATTAATCTATCTCGATTTTCTCTCCTTAGAAGCCAAAATTTTGTTAGTATTAGGGGTATTTTCGGCTAGTTGTAGGGTCCATGAGAGCCCGACATCTAGTAGCTATCAGGATGGAGTCCTGTCAGCGTGATTTCCAAACGTTTGTCAGGAAAATTTTTGTAAGTTATGCTACATGTATATTGCTTTCAGTATAACTTATATTTATAGTCATAGTTGTCATTATGAACCTACAAATAAGATTTATCAGTAATTCCAAGTCATTATACTGATTTATCTACTTACGGGGATAATTGTCTAGGCTAGATTTAGTGAGGCGTTTAAAGTTGGATTTACAAACAGTATACTTGGTATACCAAACTGACCCTACCTCCGATATGATCCTACCTGGTTGTTCCTTACTTGATAAATCTTGATGTAGACATTGGGATTAGTAAGGTATCTAAACTATCATTAGTCGCCAAGAATATAAGACTAATACTTAGTAATGTGAACTTAAGCCACGTCAAAGGAACTGATAAAGTACCAAGGAAAAGTTTTGCCCAAATTTCGAGGCATCCACTTTTATCAAGTGAGTACATAGTTACTTTCATCTTACACATAGATATGAAATATTTAGATAATTAAATGTTATATGCGCTTATTATCTGCAGTATGTGTTGGATGAACTTATATTATATGATTTTACTCGTGTTTATTATATAAGTATTTTCGTATTCATTATATATATAATATATATATATATTATATATATATATATATATATAGATATATATATATATATATGGCTTAGGTTATTTTTTTTTTGTACTAAGTATTGTGTGCCAGAATGCACAGATCTGGACCAACGGATGAAATTAATCAATGGACATGATTTGAGATGTATGATATAACAATGGGGTAACATGTACCATATAATCACACAATTTTTAGCAAAAGGGTATTTTGGACAATTAACTACATTTATAAAAGGAAAATTTCGGATTTTTAGGGATGATTAATTATCCTAATTTAAAAAAAATCTGAATTTTTTAATTAATTCAATTTCAATTTTTACCGATTTTATTCTGTCAGAATATTTTTTGTTAAATGATGTATTTCAGAATTTATATCTAATAGAATATTATTGAAGAAAACAAAATTCTTGAATCAGATGTTGAAAAATAACAAACATTCTAATATATTTCTTATACATCCGAACTTAAATACAAATTCATACATATTCTTACAGACTAAAATCTTTTATACATTTAATATAATTATACATATTCTAAAAGAATATCAACAAAATGATTAAAATTCTTAAAAATAACACATTTTAAATTGTGAGTATGATCAAACTTTATTCATTCTTCAAGTTATTCCTATTAGGTCTTCAACGCCTTCTTCCAGCCATTCCTATCACAAATACAACAAAACCAATAATTGTTAAAAACATGTTACTTGCAATTAACTATCACTTAATATATTCTGGTAGAATACATAGAATATGATAGAATATATATAATACATTCTGGCAGAATACATCGATTTTATTCTGGTAGAATACATTATGATAGAATACATAGAATACATTCAAAAGTATTGTATTTACTGCTAATATAATTTTAGATTTCAAAAATACAATAACAAGGGACAATAGAAATTGGAATTCAAAATCACAAATTGAACCAAAATAATACACATACAAATTAATTATCTTTTTAAACAATTACATAAAACATGTGTTGCTAGTAATTCTGACAGAATGCATACCACAAGGTTAAATTCTTTAAATTCTCTTTCAGGCATTTCAACAAACACTTGTTAGGCATTATCATCAAACAAGCCAAAAACCATATTTGATTTACTTGCAATAGTTTACCTATAAACATAATTTCCAGCAACATATTTGATTTAGAATGCATACCACAAGGTTCAAAGCCAAACACCCATACTAGCTGCTGATCTGCCTTACTTCTCTCTTCCAACTGATTTCGCCGACAACGAGATGGGAACCCACGATGGATGGCCGAGGATCGACAGTCCGCCCTCAATTTGCAGTCGTCCTAGCCGCCTCCCTCCCATCACGATTTCTAAACCACCGGACCACCATTCGAATTCCCTCAATCGCCTGATGCCTTCTCGATCTGATGAAGACAACGATGAGGACCGAAGTCCCTTTCTCAGCCCTCTTTGTGCGAATCTGTTTGAACCCTCACTAGTGCCCTTGATTTTGACTGCTCCCATTCGATCGTTCTTTATTTCCCGATCTGTTGAAGAAGACGCGTCCCCTCATTGTGCATTTAGGGTTGTGGATATGATGGTTTGAAATAAGTCAAATAATAGTAGACGTGATTTAAGGGATATACCAAATATATAAGAATTTATTTTTAGTTTATAAAAACAAAATGACTCATCTACCCTTTTTTTTTACATTAATAATTTATTTTTTCTTGAAGTCTTATTGGTGCATACATGCACACAATACACTGCTAAAAACATTAAACCTAGCTCATATATATATAGATATATATATAGATATATATATATATATATAATAATATATATATATATATATATATATATATTTATATATATATATATATCTATAGTGATGGGTGATGAGAAATGGGAAATGAGAGATGATAAATAATTAGGAGAGGTTTTTAATCATGAAAGTATAGGAGACGCCATGACTTTTACTTGTGATGATTGCGATGTTTGCTTAGTCATCTACCAGATTATCGATGATGATCACGAACTAATTTAAAGAGTCTAGTGGGACACCGGCAGGTTCACAACTTGTAGATGATAATTTACAAGTTCAGACGATGTACGAATGACGTAATCATGCGATGTACTCTACTCCTTACATACATGTATTGCAAAGCAGTACTGTGAATGAATGATATGCGATGATATGCGATGACCCATAGGAGAATCCCTTAGCGATGAAAAAAATAAAATGTGATGATTAGGCGATGAACCTTAGGAGAAGACTTTAGCGATGACATGTGATGTAGGTGATGATCCCTAGGAGAGGTTCTTAGAATGAATATAGAAGAAAAAGGGGATAAGTAGTTGGGTTAAATATTTGATAATTAAACATATTAACTATATTATTGTGGGTTGAACATCCTATGTACTCACCAGGTTTTCCAACCTGACCCACTCAGCTTTTTTGTATCACAAGTAGCGATACAAAGGTACATGCATGATGAGAGACTCAAGGAGATGTAGATTTTTACTCTAAGATGCGATAATGCATGTTTATTCTTATGTTTCTTGTATCAATTATGACATCCCAAAGTTTTTAATAATCAATGAAAAACATTTGTTTAGAAATACTTTTATGGGACTAATTCCGCATTTATAAATAAACTTTGTTTTAAATAAGCAACTAAGCATAAAAAAAGTTTTTAAAGTGGTCGTGAAAAAGGGGATGTCACATCTACTACCAATCCTTGGAGCATTATGGTTCAAATGCTCCTCGTAGTTTTCTGTAAGTGAAATGTCATATCACTCTACCCTATAGGTACCTATGTCAACTATTAAACTTAATATGTACATGTATCATTGGATATAATGTGTCTAAAATATTGTATAAATGTTAAACTCGTCTAAATTAGAGATGAGTGTCATACGTCCATCACTAACCGGCTGTCGAGGGTATTTCCCCAAAAATCTTTGCTCTAGCATATACAACAGGGAGACTCTCACCGCGTCTACATTACTTAATTGATGAATTATGTTATTGAACATGTGCATAAGGTAAGCCACTCTCACCGAACATGAAAGCGGCACAAATGGAAATACATGCTATCTGAACTCTGCAAAACCAGAACTGGGTGGGAAATACTCCCTGAACCGCAAGCCAGTAACCAAGCATAATGCTTTCCTGTTAAAGCAAACCCGATAGTTGCCAACCGAAAGTAGAAGCTCTTGTATGTCAGCTAGATCAAAAGTAGTAAATTCCTTGCACCTAAGATTGTGAAAGAGTAAAGGGTGACATTTCATACCCATCTACATGTTCATGTAATCACCAAAACATGTGACCCTACAAACAGGTCGGTTTTGTAACCGAGCCTTGATTTTGCTCCCACGTTGAGGCCTGCAGGTTGTAAAAACAACCGTTTCGTATATTCTGTCGTGCTATAATCAAAAGAATAATTAAGTAGGAATTTTGGTATGTATGTTCTGGAGGACCTTACTGAATATACAATTCCGAACCAAAATTCCGGTACACAAGTTCGGAGCAACAATCCAGAATGTAATTCCGGTCAAAATTTCAGAATTGGATTCCAGAATGTTCCTCGTATTCCGAAGGAGTTCTTATTATTCCGAACATGTGTTCCAGACTAGTCAAAATGAAGATTTTTGGTAAGATTTTTTGATGTACCATACATATATTTCTACATTGAATCCTATAATTGCCTTTAAACCAATCAAATTCATAGAAAAACTAATAATATCTATATAAATGCATAAATTATATAAGTTTTACCGTATAATCTAAAATAAAGACATATAATTATAGACATAATGAAAACTTACACATAAAAAATGCATCTCATCACAACTATCAGAAGACATTTTCAGTTTTAGTGGTGTCTGAAATGTTGTCTGTAGTGTAATATGAAATGACATAGTTTGAAATGAAGTCGGAAACGGGTTAAAATGGTGTTTATAGGGGGACCACATTACCGGGTGGGATCCATTAACCATTGACCGAATACAAAATCGGGTCCGAAATGACCCATTTAGGACCAAGTAGTCATTTTTTTCTTTTAAAAGAAGGGGTTATTATTATTAAAATAACATTAAAAAGTGGCTAGTTTACTTAATTTCCCAAGAAAAAATATTCGGTCTTTTTCTTGTTTTTCTATTGGTAAATTAAATAAAATAGTCCGCGTTGTATTTTAAAAAGAAAAAAAAGTGATTAAAGGAAGTATAAAATCAAATAAAAACTTAAAATGCAATATAATTTTTTTCACTTATAATAAAAACTACATAAAGTTCTATACATAAGTTTATATACATGACAACTACATATTTACCAAGTCATATATATATATATATATATATATATATATAGATATATATATATATATATATATATATATATATATATATATATATATAGATATATATAGCTAGGTTCATATGTTCTAACCACTGTAGAAATGGTCATTGGGGTAAAACTCTCATTTTCAAAAAGTTAACAGTCAAACTGTTAAACTCAACGAGATAGAGACCAAACTACAACAAACCATCAAATATGGACATTTTTTGCTAATAAACTTTTTTTAGACATTACCCAATGAAATTGAAAAACCACATGGACTATTTTTACAATTTTGTCTAATAATAATAATAATAATAATAATAATAATTTTTAAGGCAACTGCCCACTTTTGCCTTACATGTTGAACAACATAACTGTCGATCCATATAACATTCACAAAATTATTACTTTTCTATATACCGATATAAATTGGGTAATTTGTAGCTTTTTTCATTAATTTTAACATGTGCGGATTTTTCATTAGTTTAATGAAATTACTCCTTCCGTCCCAAAATTATTGTCCACGTTTGATTTTTTAACTCTTTTGTTCAACTTTGACCTTAAATAATTACTTTTTGTTATATAATTTTTTATGCAAGATATCTTAGTAGATTTTTTTTAAATGTATTTTCATTGTTATAAGTTTCATTAAAAATTATATAACACAAATAAAGTTATTTATTGTCAAAGTTGACATGGAAAGACTTTAAAAATCAAACGTGGACAATAATTTTGAGACGGAGGGAGTATTATTTTTCCATACACCAATTTAAGTTGCATAATTGGTAGGTTTTTCATTAGTTTAACATAATTATTACTTTTCTATACACCAATTTAAATTGTGTAATTTATAGCTTTTTCATTAGCTTAACACGTGGGGTTGTTACTGACACGTATCAATAACAACCCCATTTGTTTTTCTTAACCAAAACGATATTCATTTTATAACTCTAATAACCATACTTTGTAACATCTAGTTTACCATTAGTAGCCTAAAGGAAATCATCAGTGCTAGTCATATTGACAACAGTTAAAAACAAACAAAAAATCGACACAACAGACAACAAATATGAGATGTGCGAATAAAAATAAGAGAAATTAAATATCCTCGTACATTGTATTCCTACTTATGCTCCTACCATATTAAATCTTGACATGTGTCACATTTAATTACACATTTAATGAAATTAATAATCATTTAATCCACTTGTCACCATTTCATATGGTAGGAGGATAAGTAGGAATAAAATGTAGGAGGATATTTAATTTTTCTAAAAATAAATCAACAATCAAATACTAGACAAGACCAAATACATATGTAGAGAAACTGATGCCAAATATGATGAATAATGGCAAAAAAAATTGAAACTGGAAGTTCGATCTACAAAACTATTACCCAAAATTCGATCTGCAAAACATGTGTTCAACATGAAACCTTCTTCAATTACAAAATAAAATAGCATGGATCGGCATACCTTGAATATTGAGAGCCAAAAATGGCTAGAATTTTATTATCAATAGAAAGTATATTTACAATGAAAAAAACGCTATATATGGGAAATAATAAGGGTAAGCGTATGTACAAAAACAGGGTAATAATAAATGGCCATAAGAAAACACTCAACATACATGTATGTTGACTAATATTAACATTCATGAACTTGTCTTGACATAAAGTCAGTGAAGAACTAGGGGAAGAAGTTACAACTAAAGCCCTTGATCATAAAGGTCGTAGAGAAAATGATTATTAGTTACTTGTCGTTTGGGAACCATGATTATTTATCCTCTATATTATGAGTTGAATTAAAAATTAACCTATGGGGCGAGCAATTCCAATGTTGAGGCTTATGAGATACTAAACTAACACCACTCCATTTTGGAGCTTTAAATTGGTTCACCACTTGGACAGATTCATCATGATCAATATCATTATAATTCATAAATACCATTCATCCACCAAAGAGGACCTCGATCTTTGCTGCATTTCCCTCATTTTGAACCATATATGAATCAAAATTAATATCATGATCCAGCATGTTAGTAGATTGTACAATATGTATTCTTCCATGGACTGGAAAAGTTCTTAACCAAACCGACCACAAGTCCCATGTATAAATATGAAACCAATACTTATAATATAACAGAATTTGAATACAACTCTCGATTAACTTACACACTATTACAACATGATAAAATTCAATACACCATGCAAAATATATTTACCAATGATTTATTTGGTGATCTTCTTTAAAAAACAATTATGCTGTTTATCTTTAATTTAATATTCGGTTTCTCGTGAATGAAGTAATGAATGGGTTTCTTAACGATACATTCCTCCGGGAGCCATAGGTGGCATTTGTACTCCATGATTCTGTCTCTCCATGTTACCTTGCCATCCTGTATTCAGTCATAATCATCCAAATCAGACTTCGATGAATAATAATGCAATAATAATTAAGTGAGATCATTTACCAATAGATATGTCAAATCCACGATGTTTAAGCTCACGATACTCTTGACACAAGGCACAGGGTTCACAACACCAATGAACAAGGCAATCGTTGCAAGGAGTCTCACGCAACCCATATTGGCTCCTCATCTTGCTCCGAAATATACAAGAATACAAACATCCACAACATGTGAATGCTGAAATAATTGCATAGAGAGTCCCTTGTACTCCACAGGCTGTATTAATTACATGCCAATTATTATGTTTATCTCATACACTTAATAAAATACATTAAAACTAAAATCTACGGATTGGTGTGTGGGGTAATCAACATGATTCATGTTGTGTTGCAATAATTTGGTAAAAAGAAGTTTAAGATTTGAATTATATCAAACACGGCTATAAGAAAATCAAGAATTATGTGATTTATGTTTACAAAAAAATGATGTAATTAAACAACGTACTGAAGTTAAACTGAAAGCAATAAATAGAAATGATCTGATTAATTAAACATTCAAATCAGAAAACCCTGACTTTATGCACTTACAAGTGTTCCCTTTGTCAATGATCTCAGCTATTTGTCCGAAAGTAATGCATGGACACCAACATGTTAAGCAACCTGTGGGTTACAAAAACAAAGAAACTTGATTATATATACTTTGTGAATTGATAGTTGTACAGAGAAGAAAAAGAAGCTGATCAGCCATGGACTTACAGTTGGGGACATCGGAGCAGCAGGCACAAAGGCTGCTGGACCATTTCTCGTTGATGGGTTTATGAGCCACCGGAATACCTGTGGCATACTGCGGTGGTTGGTAACTGGATTGTGGTGGTTGGTAATTGGATTGTGGTGGTTCCGGTGGTTGGTAATATGATTGTGGAGGAGCTGATGGTGGTGGCGATGGTTGTTTTGGGGGAAAGTCTTGGGAATGAGAAGAATACATGATGTTTGCTGGTGGCCAATCTTGGAAATCGAGATATTTTGTTGAGGATAGATGAAAGAATATTTAATGTTCAAACAAAAGATTGAAATATCTATATGCATCAACTTGAAAGTTTCAACAATGGCTGAATTTTGACCAAGACCTTCTTGTTTTTAACGATAACGTTTTTTAAACACTCTTACCTAACTCTTACCATTTCAATGCATAGTTTACGTTGTTTCTTGGTTACGGTTTATTTCAGAAGATTCGATGACAAAATATTCTGAGTAAATAACAATTTTGGTCCATGAGTATAAGTGGGTTTGTAACCTTTGTTAAAGAAAGTTTTCTCTATCAAATTTGGTTCTTATTCTGAAGTTTCATAAGGATTTTGGTGCTTGTTTCTTCTAAGTTAATAGTCTAGCTGTAATAAAAATTAAAACGACCTGTTTTGCTCTTGGAATAATGTAATTGAAATATCATATACCGAGGGATCAAATTTGTAATTTTATCACAATTTTTTTGTGCTTATATCTATTTTGTAATTTTATCAAAAAAAAAAATAAATAATAATAATAATAAGAAGATAAGTGAAAATTAAAAAGTTGGCCTTTGTGGTGTACATGTATCTTTTTTCCAGTTCTAGTCCTACGACAAAATGATCTTTTGCAAAAAATAAAATAAAATAAATATATATTAACTTTAGATGAATTAGACAAAAATCGTAAGGACAATTCAAAATAACGACCATATTTATAACTGCAAACACCCAAAAAATAGTTATACCCCTTAACAAAAACAAAATTTTGTGTAATTATTTATTTTGTGAATAATTAGCACCGGTTTTATATATCTATTTTTTAATCAGAATAAAACTATCGGTTTTTACCAAAATCTGGTTGAACCGATTAAATTAAGCATGTTCAACCAATAAATTAAATAAAAACACATGAAAATGAAGCATTTTTCATAATTAACATTGATGGTTTTTTTCATATCTATTTAGACTTCTCTGAATAAAAATAAATAGTAATGTTATGAAGATTTTTATATCTGTGTATTCAATAAAATTATATTTTGTTTCTATGTTATATATATAATAATATATATATATTAATATCTATATATATATTATATCTATATATATATATAGATATATATACGGTATTGATGTAAAACTTATGATTATGTGTTTTTTCAATGTATATAGACTTATCTATAAATTTTTGTATGTGTATTTTTAATATTTCAACTTGTGGACGTCAAAATTCTTAATATATGTATGTGTGTGTGGAAAAATAGAAAAAATAATAAAAATTATAAAAATCGGTTGATCCGGAGATCGAACCGGTCACCGTGTTCAACTAAAAAACCGATTTTTGAAACATTGATTGTAACTTGCCAGTTATAACAAAAGAAAGTGTTGCACAATAAGTTTTTGGAAACTTTACTTTTTTTAGAAGAATAAGAATACGAGTTTTAAAGTTTTTTACTTTAGAAAAAAAAAATAAAAATAAAATAAAAGTAGTAATCCAAAAATTACTTTAATTTGCCGTTCAAAGATATTTACTTTTATGTTTTATATTATTTTACAGATATCAAAAGTTTGCTATATATTTATTGAAAAATTAAAAAAAATTAAAAAAATTAAAAAAATTAAAAAAAAAATTAACTAAAGTTTACAACAACCCACCGCTAGCTTCGTCAAACAATACCCATTTAAAAATTAAAAATAAAAAACAAACTTTTTTTTATTAATCCGAAAGATAGAGATCATGAATTTTGGGATCTTTAGCACCTCCAATTGAATACACTTTTTTCTTGACTGGTTTAAACATCACCGAATGTGCCCATAAACGTATATTTTGCTCTATGAGTATTGAAAACTTTAAGTACACTTGAAGTTTTGGCCACAAACTTAACGATTCATTCCTCCAATAGCCACAGGTGGAATTTGAACTCCATGCATCTGCCTATTCATACCTTCTTTCCATCCTGAATATTTACATAATCAACAAAGACCAATTAGGATCGGATGATCAAAGTTATAGTAAATATGATATCAATTTAATGCCAATTATTGATTACCAATAGACATGTCATATCCACGGCATTGGAGCTCACGATACTCTTGACACAAAGCGCATGGCCCACAACAGAAGTGAACACAACAATCGTTGGTTGGAACTTCAGGCAATCCTTGTTGACGCCTCAACTTAGTTCGATACATACAAGAATAAAGGCATCCACAACCCGTTAAGATATTGATCAGTGCATACCGAACACCATGTACGCCACAAGCTGTGTTATGTTCAAAATTTATTAGTGGTTGAAAACCAATTTTCGTTTGATAAGCATGTAACTACTTACAAGTTGTTCCTTTGTCTACAATCTCAGCTATTTGTCCGAAAATAATACAAGGGCACCAACATGTTAAGCAACCTATCATTTAAGAAGTTAAGTAAAGAAATTAGCTGAATAAAATAAAAATAAAAAGAGGCTAATCACCATTGATGAATGATGGTTATTGAGTATAAAAAAGATTGCATACTTCTGGCGACTTACAATTTGGGATATCAACACAACAGTCACACAGTCCACTTAACCAGGACGTCTGAGCTGATGCTGAAACGCCGGTGGTATATGGTGGTTGACCATATACTTGGGGAGGGGCTGAGAGATGTGGAGGCTTAGGAGAATACATGATTACTCAAACCAATAGTCAAGAGTTGCTTTGAGACAGCTACTATAAAGCACATATTTATGGATCACATGGATATTTTACTGGAATCAACAGGGGGGAAAATAATAATTTTATGCATCAACTTGGAACTTTCTTATAATATTTTACTCTAATCTATGAACAAGCCCATTGATGTGCAAGGTACTAAAATAAAAGACGACGTACATATAGATATATCATGCACTCATGATATGATGACGTTTTCTTTAATATAAACTTGGATCAGTTTTGACTTTGGGTTTAATGTGCTTAGCATAGGACATTCTTATCCAAATGTTCTAGGACCGTATAGAGTGTGTTAAAGTGCTATTTACATATATTTAAGAGGTTGGAGTTATCTTGAAGAAGGATTTACCATCAAATAATGTTGAAATTCAATTCCAAACATCTAAGTATCATATCCTTTAAAGATTCAAGCTTCGGGGTGGGTTTAGGGTTAATACAAGTTTTACTTTTTAGTAGGTAGTGTGTTAATACGAGGTCCAAAGTTCAAGTCTCACTTGGAACATAAGTTGTATTAGGAGTGAATTGTAGTAGTAGATTAGATTTGTCCTTTAAAACATGATATAAATTATGTTATTGTTCATTATTTGGTAATAGATGTTGTGTCAACTACCAAAAAAGGGTTAGAGAGATTAATTACAGATAAGAACAATTATTTTATATCAATATTTCAATAAATTAAAATGATGGTAATAATATTAGAATTCATGGTTTCTTGGTGGTGGAAGATATGATGCTTTGGATCGATTTGGTTCATCTGCTTTGGGTAAGCGGTGGATTTTGGAGTCGTTAGTAATGATGATGCAGTGACTTATTTGGAACTTTTATAACAATGTTTTGTTTATTGGTCACAGTATTGGAAGGAATTCATTAATCGATAAATTTATGCGGACACAGCTCGGTTCATAGGTGGCCAACGAAAGGCTTTTGATGCAGTGGTGTTGACTTCCTTTTGGACCCTTTGGAGGTTTCAGAATTCTATTAGTTTTGGTTCGGCTATTCTTAGAAAGTATGATATTTTTTATGATGTTGTTGATAGGGTATTTTTGGATTTCGAATAGGTGTAGAAAAAGCTAAGCTGAACTAAGTTATTTGGCTGCAAAACACAGTTTTAGCATGCACTTTTTGTAATATTTTATTTCTAGCTTTTTGCTAGTTTAATCGAATTCCGATGTTTCAAAAATAATTGATAGATTGGTTTTTCTATTCCTATAATGGGTTTGTGAATCAGAATAAGAACATAAGTGTTAGTAGGGGTGTGTGGTTTCTAAACCAAATTTTGTCTATTCCATTGTATTGTTTTGTTAGTTCTCTGGTAAAATTTGATGTATAAAAAAATATAAAAAATTTGGTAAAATTTGATGTATAAAAGTTCAACCATTTAATAAAAAATATGAACAATGAGAAGATTTCATTGAAGTTATGTAGGTTTGAAGAGTAAAAATCTAGAAAGTGTTAGTTGTATATATGTGTGCTAGTTGTGTATGTTTTATATTTGTGTATTTTGGTTGTGTGGCCCATTGCTTGTGTAGCATACTTATTGTTTAGCCTATTTTCCATGTATTGTTCTATAAATGTAGTGCAATAATAATTTGGCATTATAGGAAAATACATTAATAACATGGTATCAGACTTTTCTAAACCCTATTAGCCTATCCTTCCGTTTTCCTCCTTGTTGACAACCTCTCTTTTCTTCTTGTCGACATTTTCTTCCTTTGTACCTACTTTAATTATTGTCTTCTACCTCTTCTTCTTCTTCCATGGATCCTTCTACTACACCCAATGACAAGATTTGTGGCATCATGAACATCAAATCCTATGTCTCGCTTATTTTGGATTTGGATCGATTGAACTATGATTCATGGAGGAGCTTTTAAAAAACAACTGCACAGATACTTTGTATATAAACATCTTGATGGCTCAAATCTCAAAACCAACCTATAAAGAATGGTGTTCGGTTGACTCCATTGTCAAGCAATTGATATACGATACACTCTCACAAATCTTTCTTCAGACTATTTTGAAGAATGATTCTACCGCTCATGATGTTTGGCAAACCATCTAGGACCTCTTCCGAGAAAACAATGAAGCAAAAGGATTGGAACTTCATAACGAAATTTGAAACCTTGTGATCGGTGACTCCAATATAATGTCATATTGTTCACGTATCAAGGCTATTTTCGATCTTCTTACAAACATTGGCACCCACGTCATCGTAATGAATCTTGTAACTATTGTCATCAATGGGTTGTCACAAAAGTATGATGTTATCGTAACCACCATCCACCGCCAAACTTCATTCTAGATGTTTATCGAAAATGAAATCTATCATTACTCTCGAGGAACAACACATGCTCCAAAATCAAAATCATTAGTTAATATGACTCACTCTGACAACTCTTCTTCCCCCATTATTCTCAATGTTAACTGCAACAACCAGGGATAGAATTACGCTCGCGAAAATCATCATCAAAACAGTGGGCATGTTGGTGGTAGGGGTGGCGTCATAGGCGGTCAATCTGATGGCTAGCGTGGTAGCCAACAATATCGTAATGATGGTTATCACCCATCAAAGATTGTCAATAGTGGATGGGGCTGGTACTACTAGTCGGCTGCTCCTAATTTAGCTCTTGTTTTTTTCCATGCAATAGCGGCAACAATGTCTTCAAGGACGTCCTCGTGGCTCACTACATAAAGGAATTCTTCTATTTCCAAATGAGACAGCCCAGTGGCCCAATTTCTCCACTCAGCAACAGCAGCAACCTTAAGAGGCTTGGCAATTTCCCGCTTCAGCGGCCCAACAACCCTATACTAGTCATCCATCCCAACAACAGTATGCTTTTATTTCTGGAAAACCTAATGCCTAGAAATGGTATAATTTTCCAAATTCAACTAATCAAGCAACCAATCTCCAACAAGCTTTTAGATCTATGATTCTCCATGACTCGGTAAATGTCGATTGGTACATGGACACATGAACTACACACATCTCCATGCCGACTCGAATATACTCAACTCTTTTAGCGAAAAGTGCATTAATTATTCAGTTTTAGTCGCTAATGGATACAGTATTCCAGTTACACACACGAGTACCACCACTCTTGTTGGATTAGGTTTCTAAGCCCCATAACTATAATTGGTATATACTTAAATTGATAGTAGCGCAGTCCTTTTGGGTTTCCCTTAAAACTAGCAACTGGACATGATGATTTTTTGGTGAGAGAGGTTGAATTTATTATTTGATTAATAAATTGAATAAATGATTTGTTAATATATTATGATTATAATATATTAATTTGAAAGAGTAATATTTAATTAATATTTAATCAGAAATTAATTGGGATTAAAGGAATTAATTAATAGTGCAGGGACTGAATTGTATTGTCCAATAGTTGAGCAAGAGGAAATCTAGAACCCTCCATAGAGCCATGGACGGTTTCTTAGGGCTTAAGGGTTCTAGAATAATCCCTAAGTGGATAATCAGGAAAGTGGATAATTACCATATTTAAGATAATCTTGGATTTGGGTTTATCTAGGGTTTCCTGACTGCACTATAAATAGGGTATAACCCTATGATTTTCGGCCAACTGATTCCCTAGAGGGTTAGGCCGAAAATTTCATCCTCTCACCTCCTTATTCATCAACTTCCTTTGCTAGTGTTGGTTGTGGACCATTAGAGGCGCGACATTTGTGGCGCTTTCTCTCAAGGCTTCAACAACACAAGGTTTTCATTGTTATTACTATATAACAATTGAGGTATGATTTTCTTAAACCTAATTGTGTATTTTGATTATATACTAGCGTACTAGGGTTTCTACTTTGTTGTTCAATTTATATGTTCAAATAGATAAAACATAGATCAATTTTTTTAGGGTTGCATGCACACATACGATTGTTTGTTATGCTCAAAACCCATTAGTGGTATCAGAGCGTAGGTTTAGTTTTCTGTTGAATTTGATACAACGGTGAACTTGAACAAGGAGGAGAAAACAAAATCGTCATTCTGTTCTTCAAACATGTCGTGGTGTTCTTCCAACACGACATGTTGGCCTGCAACACGACATGGTGATCTTTAAACACAGCGTGTTGAGCTGTCAGATCCAAAATTTTGTGCCTTATCTGCCGAATCTGCTTTTATATGATAATTGCTTGCTATACTTATCCTCCAAATCCGATTTTGGTGTATCTATGACGATAACTTAAAAGCCTAGAAGTTAGGAGATAAGTATTTGACTTAATTAATTGTTTTTGTTGATTAATATGATTATTTTAAGTGTATAAATAAATCAAGATATTAGTTGAATTAAATAATTAATGTCACATAATAATTGATATTTTGAAAAGTTTAAAATACATCTTTATGGATCTTATTATTAATTTAATTAAGTAATTAATTAAAGGGACAATTAACAAATCCATAAAATGGTTTAAATTTAATTAAATTAAAAGTTTAATTTATTAAAAGATTAAACCCTTGCAATTTTAAAATGTTTTAAAATTCAAATTATACTATATATTATTAAAAGTTTAATATATACTATACGTATAAGAAAAGTCAGTCGAACCACTACTGAGCCTCATTCACGAAACCGATCTATGAGGGGAGTTTAAGGAAGCGGCCTATAAAATGACCGTCATTGGGTATCCACTCTTACCCATCGTTCCCTTGATTGGTGGAGGGTCGTTAGCCGAACGACTTTGATATGACATAATCTCATTAAAATTATAATGATATAAAGTAACTAAACTATTTTAAAATCCCATTATTAGTTACTTTAGGAAAATGTGAATATGTATGCTAATTCATGAAATTGCACATTACACTTTGTAAGTCGTTAGTGGAGCGTGTGTGGTTAACCGACACACTAATGAGGGACTAATAAAGGGTGGTAATGGGCATCTCAAAAATTATCGTTGTTAATGGAGCGCGTGTGGTTAACCGGCACATTAAAACGAGATGATAAATGACATCGAGAGTACCAAGTTAATT